GGAGTTGCTCTGACAAAAAGGGATGGCTGGGAAGGGGGGGTGGGGGGGAAGAGGCTTCTCCTGAATCCAGCAGGGACTCCGGCACACGGTGTATCCGGATGAAACACGGAGTCGGTCGCTCGGGGTGCACCTGCCTGACTTTTTCATGCGCTTGGCAAGCCGAGGTGTCAGATGAGGGAGCTACGTGCGAGGCAGAGCGGCGGGGCTGGGATGGCACAGATCCCACCTCCGGCACCGACGCCCTGCCCGGAGCAGGGAGAGCAGCCCCGCGGCAGCGAAGATGCACGGAAAGGTCGCTGCTTGTGGCGGCGGCTGCTGCTGTTGCAAAAAAAAAAAAAAAAAAGATATTGAGGTCCTGGCTGCTCCCTGCGGGGCGAGATAGAAGGCACATGGACCTCGCCGTGGAGGGAGAGGAGAGGGCTTAAAAGGTCGGAGAATAAACCAAGCATTAAAATTGCAGGCAAGCCCGGGCTGGTTTCCTTGAGGGACACTGCTGCTTGAGTGAGCACAGCACACCCTCCCAGAGCTGATCTCCTGATACCAGCAAGATCTTTCAATAATTCCTTCCACTTCTGCAGTCAGCCGAAAGCATCCGTCTCCTGAAATATTTATCTCACCCACTTCTTCCAGTGCAGATCAAAAGGAGTGTGAAATGCACCTGCAACCTGCTGGATCACCTGGCACCTCTGCTAACTTCTAGCAGGCGGAGGTGCCAAATCCTACTGACATCTCCCGGTCCAAGCTGTAAAGGATCAGACACCAATTATCACAGACAGGCAAAGGGTGACAGGCACCTCATGTTACCTGCAGGGTACTCAGCTCTGCTGGGAAGAAAACAGCACTGGGACAGAGGCATTAAGAGGGTGGGATATACCCCACATCCTTTGGAGTGGGAAAACACGCAGTTGGTGCCACTAAGCTTTGCCCTGCTTGTGCATGTCAGGGACAGCCAGGAGTTACTTTTCCCACCCCAAGTGCCATGTTTGGCTGTGTATGGCTCATCTCTGGATTGGGGCACTGCAAACAGGAGGTCCCCAAAGCCAGGGCATCCCTTAGGAAAGATCCAGCTGACATGGGAACGGGCAGACTCCCCACATGCCAGCACAGAGCCCTGTCCTGTTCACACTCCTTCTGGAGCAGCTAATGGCATCAAAAATGTCTTCAACGTTATGGTTTCTGGCCAGAAACCCTTCCAGATCCAGTGAGACCTCCAAGCCAACTTTGCAATCACTGAGACAGACACAAACCACTTAGCCAAGTATTAAATTCGGTGATTTCTGACACAGTCCTTTATTATCTGCCAGCGCTGCACCTGGCAGTCCTGTACATGGCCAGGAGGGAAATGAGCTCTTCCTGCACCTGCAAAGGGAAGGGAAAACATTCTTTCCTCCAGCTCTCTGTGACAGGGCTAGAAAACACAAAACCTAAACAAACTCAAACCAAGCAAGCAGGATTGAGCTCTGTCCTCACCTCGGAGACCTGCCAGAGACCCCCTTCCCTTCAGCAAACCTGCCAGTTGCCCTCCTCTCCCCCTTCCTGCTGGGCTCAGCTCCCCGTGGCAGCCTCCCAGGAAAGCCCAGCAGGATGGAATTGCCTGATTCCTCCAGCTGTTCCCCGTCTCCCACCCGCCATGCCCAGGCTGCTGTTCCCACCTGCCGCGGAGAGCGCGGGGTGAGCTGCCTGGATCAGGGCTGGATAAACGGCAAAGCAGAGCATATGGAATGCCTCAGCCTCCCCTGTGCTCCTGCTTGGTGCAGGGAGCAGCTCTGCTGGGCCTTTCTGAGGTGTTCCTGGAGGCAGCCCTGGGCTGGAGAAGGGGATCAGGGAGCATGGAGGTGATGAGGGTCGATGGACCGAGCGCAGGAGCTGCTGCTGGGCACTGAGTTGTGCTCACTGATCTGTTCAGAGGCCCCTGAGGAGCTGTCTGAAGAGAAGCTGAGAGCTTCTGAGGCGGGAGGGTTCTCTGGAACAGGCTGTTAGCGACATGTGACAGCCAAGATGTGTCTCGGGGGGGCAGGCATGGGGACGGAGCCAAGGAAGAGGAGACACAGCCCATCTCCCTGCATGCTCTGTCCTCCAGGGCTCCAAAAACCAGCCCATCAACTCCTACAGTTTTGTATCAGCAGACACATAATGCATTGATTTCCCATTCTTTAAAAGTCAGTACTCATTCAGCGTTTTCCCACGCCAACAGAGGAATGTACACAAAAGTAGTAAATGAAATAGAACTTTATTAGAAGCTTCCAGCATATTTTATCTGTTCTCCTCCTCCACAAAACTCCTCTTGCTGGATAGACAGCTGCTATAGTCCATACAGAGCCTGTACATCTCTCTCACTACTTACAGTTACATATCTCACTGTACAATTGCACAGTTGTGCTCTCTTATCAGCAATAATACATGGTCTTCAGTCCATCCCTACACACATTAAAATTGCATAGCACTCTGCATTACAAGGAAAGAGCTAAACCTCCCCTCTCTGGCTTCATGAGACAAACATCACCACACCATTCCTATAAAGCTCACAGGCAGATCCACACTGGTATTCTGGGCTAATTTCCCTTAGTACCTTTGTGGATCTGGTCCCTGAGTGCTTAATCTCGCATTCATGCTGTTACCAGACTTGGGAGTGAAGAAAAACCCTCATGAATAATGCCCTTGAGTGATGAGGAAGGCACTGGAGACAGGGGAGGAACTGAACCGCTTCCTTTTCATTTTTCACCCCACCTTCCATTCTGGGCCCCCTCGAGCCCTCCCCAGCCCCCCCAGGTTACAGACTCAGCCACAGCACCCCCTCACCCCACACCTGCCCCAGCCAACTTTATCCTTCTAGGGTGGGAGGCAGAAGAGGGAACAAATCATATATCCAGACCCTTCATGAGGTTTGGGCAGAGCCAAACATGTACATGTACTTCTTCCTCCTCTCCAACATGCTCCTGTCCTCCTCAGGGCTCTCCCCTGAGCTCAGCCCCTCTCTCTGCTGCCCCTTTCCATGTTGTGCATCTCCTGCAGGACCCTTCCCCTGGCCCTGGCTGTGTGACCCCTGTCCATCCTCTGCCTACGTGTTTGGGATGTTGCCCGGGTGCTCCTCGCCCACAGGGACGGACGTGGCTCTGGCTCAGCAGGGCTGAGGTGGCTACATGCAACAGAAACCTTATCTCAGCCTCCTGCACTGTTACACTGAACTGTGACTTCTTGGAGTGAAATCCAGGAGGATGAGTCCTCCTGCAGTGAGCCAAACCAGTCATGGGAGCCCTGGGCTCTGCCAAGAGAGCGGCCCCTCCGTCCTCCTCTAGCTGCTGCCCAGCCAGCATATGCTTAGCCAAGCCCCATGTTTGGACAGACAGCTCTTCCCAAAGCTCTCTGCACTCTTCCTTCACAGATATCCCAGCTCTTTCACACGAATGAAGCACTTTCCTGGTTTCCCTCCACCACGTCCATGCCTGCCTTTGCCACCAGGTGACCTCAGCAAGGAGGAGGGATGAGCAGTGCCCTGGGACAGACACTGGCTGCTCCTAGGGAGTGTCCCAGGAGAGTGCAAGGAAAGACACCAGAGCCAGCCCAGGCTGGGCTCCCCTTTTCTCCAGTACAGGTACCGACTGCCTACCGTGCCATAAACTCCTGTCACCGGAAGGATCCTGCTTCCCGTGATGTCCTGTCCCGTGTAGGGATGGGTCCAAGAGAAGTCGTGGTGCTGGGATCCAGGCTTCTCACACTGTCCAAGAACAAAGTCCGCAGTCTCTGCCCTCCACCGTGCCCACCTGTCCCCAGGAAGCACCTCTAGTGTGAGCTGAGCCTAAGTCCGGGGGTGTCCTTCTCTGACCTGCCTCCGGAAGTAGCGGATGGCAGAGAGTGTGCCAAAACTTGCCAGGAACACTGGAAAAGAGCCCAACACATTTCCACAGTTAGTCTGGGTGCTTCTTCCCAACCTAAAGGTCTTTTTTTTTTTTTTCCAGATCTGTAGATTACACGCTTGGCTCACCCTGCTCCCTGGGACATTGAGGGGTCACTCCCCTCCCTTCCCCACTCCCCTCCTGCCTTTGCTTTTCATCCCCTCCACGCTGAATTTATTCCCAGTGCATTCCCAGCCACCCATGGCCTATCTGCCCACATCTAGTGCTTTAGTTTGGGCACATGGATCACACCACCATTCCACAGCAAACAGCTTTTTTTCAAGGACAGCACTAAACAGGCTCCATGTGTGGGGCAGGGATGTGCACTGGTTGGATACACACGTTCAGGTGGAGATTTAATGGATGGGTTGGATATACAGTTTTAATCCTGGATGAGGAAGACACAGTAGAAAATCTCACCAGGGCTTCAGGACTGTCCCTTCATTTTCTACTTCTGTTTGGACTGTGAAGATGACAGAAAAATACCATTTTGTGGATTATCTGTGGATTTTCTGATCCCAGCCAAAAGCAGAAAATATCCAAACAAAAAAAATGTAGAGATATAACAAACAACTAATGGGGATTATACACAGAATCAAGCTTTTCTCTGTACTGTCAGCCAATGTTTTTAGCTTGGTTTATAAGAGAGGTTAAATTCCCAAGCAAAACTGGGAATCCAAGCCACGCCTTTGGAGTTCCCAGTTTAAATTCAGACTTGATTTTTACTTATGTGTTAGAGGGACATAAACAGAGGAATTCAACTGGAACATAGAAAGCCTAAAGAGAATGGCTTGTCCAGGACTAGATGGAACTGCCTCCCATCTCCCCTCCTCAGCAGGGTTATGTGATCCCCAGGGCATGAGGACCCGTATCCCGCTTTTCTCACCTCCCTGAGGCCACGTCCACCATCCCAATACCCAGAAGACAAGGAGGAGCAGGCCAAAAGCTCCTTGTGATGATGGCACTGAGCAGCCTTAGCTAATGAGCTATTCTCAGCCCAGGGTGTCAGCTTCCTGTGTGACCTTAGTGGGGAACATTCCTCTCCTGGACAAGCAGCAGGAAGCCTTGTTCCCTGCATCTCAGCCCATGGAAAGGGCTCTCCAGGGCTGGACCCTGCACTCAGCTGCTCCATCCAGGGTGGGAATGATGGCAATGCTGCTCTCATTGCCCCATCCCCTGCTCATCCAGCCACCTGCACTCCCAGGGGGCTCAGCAAATATGTGATTCCTGAGCTTCCTCTCTTCCCAGCTATCCCAAAGCTGTGATTGGAGAGGAGAGGATCCAACAGAGCTCCGTTTACCTGCAGGACTCAGTGCACCAGGATGACACTTCAGCTAAGCTGTATTTAGAAAGAAGATTATATCTTCATAGCACATTAGAAAAAACACATGCATTTGCTCCAGAGGAGATGAGGGAGCCTAAACCTGCACACTCCAGGTCCTGATTCTGCTGCTAGCCAGCATGGGTCCTAAGGAAGCCTCTCTTCTCCTGGCAAACTGTTCTTGTCCCTGTCAGCAGCAGGGCCAAGGCTGGGGATAGACTTGTCCGACAGCTCAGCTCCTGTCAGCAGCCACTTAGTGTGGGGAAAGCACAATGTAAACGAGCAGGAGCCGGGACTGCCACTCCATAAGAGAGGCAAGGCATTAAAAGCACACTTTGGAAAAGCAGGGAGGTGACTGCGCTTTCCCACAGGCAGCAGTAGGTGTATCAGCAGCCCTGCCTTTGTCCCTGCCGAGTCTTCCATGAAGTCATTCCCACCCTTTTCCCGCCGGGCCGGGCACTGTACGTACTGGTCTTCCAGGCATCCGGAGCCTGCAGGTCAGATGTCTTCACTGCCCAGGACGCAAAGGCACAGAAGACCAGGCACATGTCTTTGTGGGTCAGCACCCGCGGATCCTCTGCCGTCCCTGCCAGGAGAGGAGCACGAGGTTTGGGGTTTTATGCCACCTCCTCTGTCCCAGCTCCCCCATCCCTCTGGGACACGAGTCCCTCGCGCTCCCAGGGAGTCACATCCTTGTCACACATTTTCCCTCCCAGATGACATTTTTATCAGCGTTTGTCGAGTCAAACGTGTCTATTTAGGACTCAGTTATGTTCCCTAAAGTTGAGGGGCGCGTTTTTCACCCCTCTCAGTTTTATACTTTGTTGAAGACCCTGAGGTAAATGTTTGTTAATGCCACCCCAGGACCTCTGGCTGCCTCACACCTCCCTGTGTGCCTTCCCAGCGCAGTGTGGTGGCTGGAAGTGGGTCTGGGGAGTAGATTTAGCAGAAAGTGATTCCTGGGGACCTCTGGGCCAGGCCCCCTTCCTGCCAGACAGTGCCCCAAAGGCACACACTGCTCTAGGACAACACCTATTCCCCTGGGAAGCACCAGTGCTCAGCATCTCACTGATCCCACCCCACCCCCACATCCTGCTAAGTCCAGGGATGGGGACATCCCTGAGTGCTCTACGTTTCCTCCCCTGCTGCATTTCCAGCCTGGAACAACTCCATGCTGTAAGAGTAGGTTATTTTTTGCTCCCATGTTTATTTGATCAGGCTTTTAATTAAAACTGACTTACTTATTATCTGTGACCACGGCAAAGGGGGCTTTTCTCTGTGCAAACCGACTGGAAGCTCTATTTTGAGGCACCCTTTGGGATGACTCACTCATTGTTTGGGTTTAATATTAACCACGAGGCCCTGTGGCTCCAAGCATCATATAAGCTTTAAGACAAACACACTGGGCTGTCCTCGTGGGTCAAACTTCTCTCCCTTTATTCCTGTTTCTCTTACTTGCCTCCAGGAACAGGTAAGAGAAACAGGAATAAAGGGATAACGTGCTTTACCTGTCAGTGCAAGGGCCATGTCCTCACCCTCCAGCCACACCTGGCCTCTTCCAGGGGGAGCCAGTGGGACCAGGGCGAACTTCTCTCCGGATCCTCTCGGCACCAGAGCCTGGGAGGCTGGGGCTTCTCCTCTGGCAGGGTGTCTTTGCCTTTGCAGGAAGGACTTCAGAGCCCCCACAGCTCTCTTCACCTCGGAGGCTGGAGCGATTGAGAAAATCCCTCTCCAGCCCGTCCTGTTCCTCGGTCTCTCTGGGAAGAGGTGTTCACACACCTCAGGGACCGAGATAATCACAGTGTCCCTGACTGGAGCTGAGCTGGGATCCTCATTCTGCAGCCCAGTGTGGTCCAAGCTGCCGAACTTCTTCCTTTTCCTCTCTTTACCTTTGGCTTTTTTCCTTTTACCTTCTGGTTCGTTGAAAAAATACTCATAGAGTTCAGGCCAGGATATTTCCCTTTGCAAGGGTGATCTCCGCCCCTCCACTGAGCTCCCCAGCTCTTCTTCCTCCTCTTGGGAATCACAGAACAAATAGTCATACATCTCAGGCCAGGTCACATCCAGGGTGTTTGACCTCGCAGAAGCCCCATCTGCAAAGCACGGGGGGCTCAGCTTCCTGGGGGGCTCAGGGCCAGGTTCCCAAGGGATCTCAGGGGTGGCAATCCTGGGGATCCCAGCTGCAGTCTTCCTAGGGATCTCAATAGCAGGAGACCTGGGGATCCCAGTTGAAGGCTTCCTGGGAATCTCAGGGGCAGGCTCCCAAGGGATTTCAATTGAAGGAACCACGGGGATGTCTGAGGGCTTGCTGGGGATCTCAGCTGCAGGAAACTCAGGGATCCCAAATGCAGGGACTCCAGGAATCTCAAATGCAGGAGCTCCAGGAATCTCAAATGCAGGAGCTCCAGGAATCTCAACTGCAGGAGCTCCAGGAATCTCAACTGCAGGAGCTCCAGGAATCTCAACTGCAGGAGCTCCAGGGATCTCAACTGCAGGAACCCTAGGGATCTCAACTGCAGGAACCCTGGGATTCTCAACTGCAGGAACCCTGGGATTCTCAACTGCAGGCTCCCTGAGGATCCCAGCTGCAGGATCCCCACAAGTTCCCTCAGCAGCATCCCCTCCAAAAGCTGCCACGTTCTTGGCTTGGAGAGGCTTCCCTGGCATCTCCTGGCACATCTCTCCCGAAGGAGCCACGGCTCCGTTGTCGGGGATCGCTGGTGCACTGTCACGTAAGCCCAAGCCACCGGCCTGCCCTGCCTTTGAGGGCTTGGTGGCCTTTGTCTTCCCCGGGGACTGTGCCCCTGGCTCCTTCCCCTTCTGCCTCGGGGGAGCACTCCCAGCTGGATCACCCTCATCCACGCCAGAGCCGGGCACCGGCTGCTTGGCCTCCGCCGCCTCCTCGCTGCCCAGCCTCACCAAAGCCGCCTTGGCCGCCTTCTCCTTCCCTTTGCTCTTCCGAGAGGACACTGGTGAGCTCGGAGGTGCCTTCCCGGGTCCCTGTGTGGCCCCCTGAGCCGCAGCCCCCCCCGGGTCCCCCTCGGCAGCGCCGGCTCCCCGCTGCTGCTTGCGGCTCTTCTTCTGCTGCCCCGGCACCTTGGGCCTCACCACGCTGGGGGACCCGGCCGGGGAGCTCTGCTCGGGCCCCGCTCTCTCCCCGCTCGCCTCCTCCTGTGCAGCCCCCAGGGACGGGATGGGAGCGTCACACGGGGGTCCTCGAGGCCTGGGCTCCGAGTGGGAGGCGCTGGGATGCCTTTTCCTGGCAGGGGGTGCCGGTGAACCGCCATGGGGCTGTCCCCCTGCCGCGTCCCCTGCCTGCTGAGGAGTGCTTGGAGTGCTGGGGGGCTCCATGGCTCGGCTGCCTCCGGCTGCTCCTTTCTCCGATGCCGCTGCTTCACCTGCTGCGTCCTGCCCTGGGTTGCCCTGGGCTGTGCCCCCAGCCTGGCCGGCCAGGGGGGCTGCAGGGGGCCGGGGGGGCTGCCTCCTCTGTGCGCTGGGCATGGCAGGGGGGGCCGGGCAGCCGGGCTCGTTGCTCTCGCACAGGAACCTGCCGACCGAGCCCAGCTCCGCTTCGTCCTCGCTGCCCGACAGCAGCTCCGCCGGGGCGAGGTGCCCACCGGCCTGCCAGCGCAGGGGGGTGTCTCCGGGCACCCCACGTGGGGCAGAGCTCCCCGTGCCAGGCGCTGGCTCGCTGCCCTCCCTGGCTGGGATCAGCCTGTCGGGGCTGGCGTGGCCGTCCCCTTGCTCAATGTCACTGAGGCACTGCTCCTCGGCCGTGGCCAGCGAGGCCGGGGCGAGGTTGCACTCCTCCGAGGCCAAGAAGAACTCAGCCCATTCCCTGTCGTTCAGCTGGATGCTGTACTCGAAGTTATCCATGCCTGCAGCGAGAAAGCAAAGGGGAGGGGGGGTGGGAGAGATGGGGGCATGAGGGGGCGGCACCAGTGCTGGCAGACGTAGGCGAGGTGTGTGCCCCTAATCCTGTCCCCACGGGTTCCTTCCCTGCCAGCTGCATTCACTCCTCCTCACTTCATCCTCCCTTCTTTCCAGCTGAAATTCCAGCTCCTGGCAGGCTCAGCAGGATGGGGATGGCTGTGCTGGACCATAACCCAGCCAGCAGTGAGAGAGACACTGCTACCTCCCTCTGGTCCCTTCTGCCTCTGCTCCCCAAGCACAGAAGCACAGAAGGGTTGGGATTCTCTCCACAGCTGCACAGAGGGTTTGGGATTCTCTCCCTAGCAGCACAGCAGCATCACACCTCACACATCCCTTTCCTGCTCCTCTTGCCAACAACCCCCTTCAAAAACTGTGGGATTTCTGTTCTTGAGCGTTCCTGCTGCCACAGCATCATGCATGAGGGGAGCACGAAGCACACTCCAAACAGGACATTCCAGCAAGCCACAGCAGCTCCTTCCATAGCCGTGGCCCCGGGGAGGGAGTTGCAACAGAGCCCAAAACCGTGGGGATCCAGCAGCAGAAGCAGCAGAGAGATCACAGAGCTGAATCCTACCTGTACCCCAACCTAAGGCGGGGATGGAGCCATTCAAAGAGCCACGCAGGAAAATCCTCCCGGCACAACATGATGCCGTACCCTTGACGGGGGCAGAGAGCTCGGCTCCAGCACAGATCCATTCAGGGGCTAAAAATAGACCCCCCCCCCTCCCTCCCCAGCGTGTCACTTGAGAGCCGAGTGCGGTGGGTTCAGAGAGGGCAGGCCCATATATAGAAGCTGGTGGGGGAGATGTCAGGGCATCAGCCAATGTGTGGCCTGTCCCACAGCCACGTTTGGGGGCCCTGGGACCACTCCTGATGCCCACTGCTCCCTTCTGCCCTCAGCCTGGCATCGCTCCGTGGGATGGCCAACAGAGAGGGGGCAAAGGCCACGGAGCTCACACCTTTCCTCACATGACAAAGTGGGACACCTGGATGGCAGTGACTGTCCTTTTTCCCACACACACCCACCTTTTGCCTCAGTCATCATTTCCAAGGTGACAAAGGCACGCCTCAGGGCATGGTTCACCTCCTGAGAGCGCTCCCAGGGCACTTCGTGCCAGCCTACTGCAGAGTGACATCAAAAGATCACAGCCACCGTCACGGTCTTGTGACAAACCTTGCAGGGTGCATGTGGCAGCCGTCCCAGCCTGCCCAGGGACACCTGGTCCATGTGCTGGAGGGAGCCTGGGGCTGGAGGCTCTGGGTGAGCCTGGCACGAGGGAGTTACTGGCCGAGGGTGGCCTGGCAGATCAGCAACCAGAGCCAGAAATAGCCCTCGGCTCCCACGAGCCCCGGAGCTGCCTCCCACCACATGCCCTCCCTGTCCCAGGGGCCAGAAATAGCTGCCCTGAAGTAGCTGCTGCAGGACAGTGGCTGTGAGCGTGAGCCCCAGTCCAGCTCCACGAGCTGGTGCCCCAAGGGGGACCAGCACTGCCCCGAGGCTCCAGTCACTCCTTCTGTCACCAGGATGCTGCAGCCCCCACAGCTGGAGACGGCCAGTGGCGTAGATGCTGTGGGAGGTGAAAGGGACCCACGTGCTCTGCATCCACTTTGGGGGTCCTGCAGATGCTACACGAGCCAAGAGGGACCCACATGCTCTGCATCCACCTCAGGGTCCTCATCAGGGCTCGGGTGCTGGCCATGCCACAGTGCACATTCCAGGGAGCTGGGGACCAGCTGGGTTGATCCAACTGGGAGGAGGGAACCTCCCGCCCTGCCCTGCCAGCCCTGCCAGCCCCGGCCATCCCGCGGGATGGAAGCTCCCCGTCGTGGCTGCCGCCTCACACTGCACAGCCCGGCAGCGAGCCAGGAGGGCCCAGCCCACCAGCAGCTGGAATCAAGGGGTAAATATTGCCTAGGACACGCTTCCCTTCTCCCTGCTCCAGGCTGACGCACGCAGGGAGCTTGTCCAGCCGGGAAAATATGGAAGGAAAGAGGTCTGCTGCCTTCCCATCCTATCTCATGTCTGATCTGGCTACACCCTTCTCCCCCTGACACAACTCCCAGACGCAGAAGGGAAACCAACTGGCTTCCTTTTCTTGGCTGCAGTCGACTTCCTTCCCTTTGAGCCCAGCAGCCAGGGTTAGTCAGAGAAACCTTTAAACTCAGCCTCGCAAACCGCAGCAGAGAACATGAAAGGGGCAGAGGCAGCGAGACGGAACTGGGAGCCAGCGGCTGCGTTATCAGCGTCACATTGCGAACCCAGCGCCGGGGCAGCCGCACAGCAAACCCCGCAGGAACTGCACACACCCCGCCACACGGCCCACCCCGGGCCCCCCCCAGACACAAACAAATCCCGCTGTTTATTTAGCTGTCCCAGGGCGAAGCCGTCCTTGGGGAAACGACACATCTGCCGCCGCTTCCCTGCCTTCCTCCTTTGGGGGATGACAGCCCAGCGTGGCCTTCAAGGGCATGGCACCCTGCCCCGAGCCTCAGAGGTGGCAGAGGGGCATGGTGCTGCCTGCCAAGGACATCCAGCAGTGGCAGCCCGGACAGCCCGGCTCCGATTTCCTTCTGGCACGTGGTGTCTCTCTGGGATACCTGGCTCCAACTCTCCCGAGGAGGTGGTGCCAGATGCTGGGATGCCACGGGGCTTGCTCCAGCACCATCCAGTGGATGGCACCTGCCGCGGGCAGAGCCAGGAGGGCACAGCCTCCCAGCGCCTCTTCCCAGCACCTGCAGGATGGACGCTGTGGTATTAAGGACATCATATAAATAACTAATGTCGATGTGTAATAAGAGATGGGCCTGAAATAAAGCAGCAGATGAGGCCCCTCTCTCTGCCTCGTGGCACAGGGCACAGCGTGGGAGAAAGAGCCAGGATCAAGGGCATGGAAATGGGGCCTAGGGAGGAAAACCAGGAGGGACACGGAGGGTTCTTCCTTTGGGATAAAGACCCGTTCTGTGGTTTCAAGCTCCACATTTGTTACTCCAAGTGTAAAGGGGTTTTGACTGCTGGGAAAGGAGCTTTCAGAGCTTTACAGAATAATACTCTGAGATAACCAATTTCCTATCCAGGAAACTCCATTTGGGAAAATTCCACCTCCATACAGCTCTTAAAACCAGCACTAAAACATCACGAGTATGGGGGTTTGGCTGAATTCGCTGTGAGACAACACAGACAGTGCAGAGAAATGTGGCTTTGATTATGAAGATGTCCTCCCTGCCCTGATCTACACCCATCACATGCTGTGTGTGAGGGGAGGAAGAGAGACGAGTTTGTAGGAAAAGCAATGGAAAAAAAATAAAAGCATAATGGAAAAAGAAATGTGTCCACAGCTTCAGGAGCAAGACAGCGTTGGCCCTTGCTGCTTCCCACTGCCCAGGACAGAGTCTGTGGTTATTTTCTCATGCCTTCTCCTGTGTTGTTTGGATCATCCTTCAGCCTCGGTCACTGATAGTGCCTGGCCTTGTCTGCTCGTCTCTGGCTGGGCTCTGGACTCTGGTCCTCTGCTCTCGCAGCACCATAAATCTTGTGATCTCCCCCTGATCTGATGCATTTCCTCCCTTCCATAAATTCCTGTGAGGTACAAACTGTGTCACACGGCTAGCTCGGTCCTTGGATTAGGGAAAGCTGAGCTGCTCAGGTGCAGCTCTGACCTTGCACCCTCACCCGCCACCAGACCTCCCTCGAGACAAGGGAGGGAGCAGACATGGAATTCCGATCTCTCCCGGGGGAAGCCTGGGAGGAGCAGCTCCTCCACGCTGAGGAAGGGGTTAACTCTGCACTGAAACTCAAAGTGCAAGGAAGCTGTAACCACCAGGCTGGTTTTGCTGGTTTGGGGGCCGGTGAGCAGGAATTATCACCCCCAAACCATAAGGCTCTCCGAGTTGTTTTTGCCCAAACCCTTTAACTATTTTGGTGGATTTTTTTTTTTTTTTTTTTGCCTGAAACTCACTCCCCAGGCTCTCTTAAAATTCAAGCCCATGCTTCCCGAGCCGCCAGCAGCAGGCTCACGCAAAGGTCAGCCTCTGCTGACTTGAAACTCAGCCCGCACTAGCCTGAAACTCTGCCAAGCTCTTCCAAAAGCTCGTATCCTGGCCGGAGTTTCGGGTTGCTAATCCAAGTCTCACCGGGTTTCAGATTTCTCTGCAAGCTTTGGCTTTGCTCTACACAAGAATAGCTCCGGGCGACATCCACGCTGTGCTGGCGGGGACCCTTCCAGCCCCAGGGGCAGGGGTGGCAGTTCCAGCGCCAGGAGAGCAGGGTAAACAGGGCAGGCAGCTGCCTCAGGGGCACGTGGATGGGCTCAGCATCCCTAATCCTGGATGCACCACCCCTGGGGGACAGGTTCTGCAAGGAACTCTGCCTCTCTGCAGGAGCTGCTGGCCAGGGGCTGTGGGACACTGTCACCTGCCCCAGAGCTGTGCCCAGAGCCTGTCAGGAATTGCTGCAGCCACAGGGCTGCAGAGATGTTGCCCAGAGAAGCTGTGGCTGCCCCATCCCTATAAAGTGTCCAAGGCCAGGCCTGGAGCAACCTGGGCTAGTGGAAGGTGTCCCTGCCCCGTGGCAGGGGGTTGGAACTGGATGAGCTTTAATGTCCCTTCCAGCCCAAACCATTCCAAGATTCCATGACTGTAGGTGCTCCCTTGGCAGCAGCTCTTTCATTGCCAGAGGACAGGCAAGACCTAAATCACCACAAAACTCACCAGTGCAAAGCCACCCCAGCACTTTGTCTCAAACCAAAGTGCAGCACAGTGACAGCAGCCCAGTGCATGGTCTGGGTGGCTGTGCTGCTCCCGGCTTGGGGACAGCAGCTGTGAGGCCAGGGGACAGCTGTCATGTCACAGCCACCTCGCTTTCCACATTGCTCACTGGTGTGAGAGACAAGCTCTCTGCAAGTCATACCCATGCAGAGAGATCTATTCTATTGTATTTTTCTACATATATAAGTCCTGAAAAGAGGCTGCTGGGCTGAATTTCCAACTCACAGGACTCAGATTTACCCCTGAACCCAACGGGATCGGTGTTTTACCTGAGGACTCATTTTCCCTGCCGTTTCCACTAGATGTCACTTACAGCCACAGAGTTAGCAGTTTCCCCGGATTTTTAACCTCCTCTGTGGAGGTTAAAATTCTACAGAGCAGGTCTGTGATAATCCCAAAAAGGGGTCTTAGGTGTCCAGGGCATTAGGGCTGTGATGGTAACTAGAGCAGTCAGGATTGCAGGCTGCAGGGGAGGGGGGTGTAGGGGGAGCTGAGAGCATCCCATCCAGCTGGTGTGGTGCCTCCAGGGGAAGGGAAAATCCGTGTTCCATGAGGCTGGAGGAGCAGGGTCTTTGCTAACACCGACTTGAGCAGCACGTTGGGAGTCTCTGCAGCAAGGCTGTCGTGCCCTGTGCTGGAACATTAGATGTTCAGTGATCCACGCAGGTAGGTCACCAGCTGCCACGTGTGGGTGTCCAAATCTCTGAGCCAGCTGAGGGTGTTGCTCAAACACTTCTTGAGCTCTGGCTGCCTTGGGGCTGTGACCACTGCCCTGGGGAGCCTGTTCAGTGCCCCACCACCCTCTGGGTGAGGAACACTTCCCTAATTTCCAACCCAACCCTTCCCCTGACAGAGCTTCATGCTGTTCCTGTCACTGGTCACCAGAAAGATC